AAGGGACAAGAGCTGCCAGTGGAAAATAACCAGAGTTGTCAGTTTTTGCTACTTTTGGAGATCAGATGCTGGCCCACAAGGTTGACAAGAGTAGTGGACATTCAGGAAAAGCTTGTATTTGACCTTTCAACACCTCCCTTTCCTAAATACCTACTAATGATTAAACCACACTTTTGTGAAGTTTCTGAGGAAGTCTTCAGAACCCCCCATGCTTCGTGTTAGAATTTTTTATTAATTATGGTAACTGTATCTTGAAAACTGAATTTAAACAAATCAGAAGCAATGTAGGTACCCCCAGAAAAGGACAGAAAATACATTTTTCTAGCATAGCAATACTGTTGCAAGTGGTAGATAGTGCTGGACTCTTCACTGCTAGATGATAATGTTGTATGAAAAATGAGAATTATTAACCTTGATTAACTCATACTCACACAAGAGCAAAATATTTTAAAGGAGTAAAACCACTCAAAACAGCATGAGAGGGAAAGCAATACTGAAAATTATAATATCAGTGTGGTAAATATAAACATGCCTCTGTCAATTGGTTAAATTCTTATCTATCTCTTATACAACATCAGGAAAAAGTTAACATTTCTTTCTGATTTCAGTGAGAATCTTCGAGTAGAATCCTGCATTTTAAGCTCTGAAACAAAAGAATTGTAACTGCATCTACAAGTGTAATTTTCTCCTACTTAAGCAGGCTTCACCTATTTATGACATTACTGAACAAACCTTAAATGGTTTGACAACTAGCATCAAATGAAGCACATATCACAGGATGTTGACAGCGAACATAAAAACAGAGGCTTTACTCCATGTCATAGCAGAAGCTACTGCTTCCACTCAAAGAAGTGCTCTCTTTCTCTATCTTTATCTTACAAAGTAATGAAAGCAAAATTATTTGGAAATCTGAATCATATTTAAAATGCTAAAAACCATAAACAAAGAGCCCCATACTGAATTTAGTCTATACACTATAATTATATCATTTAGGGCAATGGGAAATTTTAGTCAACTTGAATCTAAAAACAGTTTCTAATGTTGCATGCCCAAATACTGCTGGAAAGAAATTTCTGGGATCAATCAACGTGCATCCAAAGTCACTATGCTTGCTCCTTCTGCTGAATTTGCTTTTTTATTGCTTAAGTGAGCAGAAATACAACTGCATTAAGTACAACACAATATTATTACCACAAGTTAATATAATGCATTGAGCATAAGACCAAGGTTCATTACGTAAAAATTGGTAGTATGTTGAGTGTGACATAGAGCTCACACAGTACTGTTGCACATATTTTTTTAACTGGCAGCCTGAGCTACAATTTCTGGGATTGATTCCCCAGTCCACGATATCTCTCAGTGCTCGGCCCTTTAAGCATTAATTCCACAAAAACAATCATAACAAGAGAGAGTCAGAAGTCAAACATACATAAGGAAAGGCTTTAGGGAGAGTAAAAAAACCCCCACCATTAGACAACAAATAAACAATTAACCCAACTGTTTTTCATAAAGAAATATACATATACAGCAGCATATGCACTCATAACAAAGAAAACACAAAACTCCAATGTCCAAGTGATCCTGTAAAAAACCAATAATTTCTGCCAAAGAACTCTGTATTAAAAGTGAATCCAGAAAGTCTCTGCTAAGATGTTAGCATGCTGCCGAATATGGTAATATTGTACTTGCAAAATTACAATTCTGAAATGGCTGACAGTGTCAAAGAATGCTGCCTTCAAATTATTAACAGCCTCTGATCACCTCTATTCACAGAAACTTCCTAACAGAACTCTAGTATCTGAAAGACTTCAAATATATTAATTTGAATATAAATTATCTGAATTAGAAATGGCTACAGACTATTCAACTTGTGGAAAGTGATACAAGTTGCAGATGAAATATAAAGCTGCAATTTCTTTTTTTGTAACAGCACTAGCCTGTATCTTCTTCATTTTGTTTACAGTTATGATTTTACTGGACCCAGAGAAATTAAAATATGTATCAATACATAAATTCTCCTTGTAAAATAATCCATCAACTCAGAAATTACTTTACCAAGAGTCTAAACTATCATAGTCTCAATCAGCATCCTTTTTGCTCAAAAAGGACAGAGAACAAGAACTAAGTAAATATGCATGCTGAATTACATTTCTCTTAACTCCAGCATATGGATGAAGCACCTTCAAAAGAGAAACACAGTCGTTAGTACATTGATACTGATTACTTCCCTGGTACCTGACACAAACAATTTTGAACAAAATAAGAAAAATCTCCTTTGACTGGCACTCATCTGGCCACATATCTTTAACTTGCATGCCAGCATGTGTCAGGAAAGGTAATGAGGCTTCAGTCTGCCCGTTTCCTTCAGCAGTTCTTCAGTCTCTGCCTTAGATGTAAACATTCTGCTCACCCAAAATTTATTGTTTCTCTTCTAGCGTTGTTACAAAAGCCAGCTGATAAACTAGATTACAATGAGAAACAGACACACGAAAAAAATAATACTTCCAGTTCCAGCTAGGAAATACCAGTAACTGCCACGTTCAATAAAACTCTTAATTACTTCCTTCAATCAGTAAGTACAGAGGTGCTTAACAGCTTGAAAGGATACTAAGACAACTCTTTCTTTTCTAACAAAAATACACCCTTATCTACCAGGAGGGCAATCATCATGAAAAGAGTAAAGATTTCCAGGTATACAGATTTTTGTATAGGGATGCTGCTAGTTTGACATAAAACTAATACACCAGGAAGTTGGCAAGCTACTGATGAGATGGAAAATGTCTTCATCTTAGCAGAATCCTTCAGATACAACTGTCATCACATCATCATCTAGCCAGATTATACCATACACAATCCATGCTTAAATAAGAATTTTACACTCTGTTTTAACTATAATGTTGAAAAATCATCAGCAGGCAGCAGGAATATAATCTTTAATTAAAAAAAGAGCAATTTCACTGCAACCTACCACATATTTAAATCTTTAATTACTTTACTAGATGAATCTTAATATTAATATCATCCTCTAAATTACCATAACATTTTCTGAAATACACTCTGTCTAGCCCTCAAGGTATCCAAACATATTCATATATGATACAGATCGTGGGTCTAAGCTGTGTCTAATTTTCAGAAAGATGCTTAACAGCTAATTGAAGTATCATGCGGGGCAAAACTGCGGCTCAGATAAAAACTGAGAGTATAGCTTTCCAACTATAGTGAGACAGAAGACACAAATCAATTACTTCAGGGTTGAAACAAGGAGGGAGATGTATTAATGAGGGGCCAGTTGAAATTACAGCACTCAGCTCAACAATGCCTAAACTTGGGATAACTGGAAGTATAATAGTCATTAGTTAAAAGAAGAAGAATCAATTAACAGGCATGTTGCCTCTCTCTGAAGTCAAGAAAATTTATCTGTAGTTGTAAGAAACAGCTACTGTTAACAAGAAGTAATAATTGAGGGGTAAAAAACAAATCAAGCACAAAGTGCAGGTAAACACTGAAGTATACAGAGATGTTGGAATCAGACCTGTAGTCAAAGACATGGTATCAGCTCCAGAGTATCAGAATCTAGGGGAGTGTGAGAACTCATCTCCAGCTCTGCTAACTGAAAAGATTCTGGAGAAGAGCACCTGAAAATTTTGTGCTTTGCAGAACTAAGATGCAAAGGCGATATGAAAAAGGAATGTGTTTGTTTTCCATTTTGATGGATAGTTTTGACGCACAGTTCAATAAGTTTTACAATCATGTTTGATAAAGTAGCTTTATTCATCAACTTTGGGTGGCTATATATGTGACTGCTAGATAAAGCAGATCTACTTTTTCTATTTACTTCAGAGAAGCAAATCCCTATCTTCAGTAAATCTCTTAGATTTTGTAGCCTGTCTGCACAAGACAGTGGTTCTCTAAAGTAAAAGTACTCAAGTAAGTTCTCAAAAGGAGCACCTGAGAAGTTCCAAGTATTGTTTTAATGTTTATGACCACTGTGATATGTAGTTACGAAGCACTAAATTTCATGGCTGCAGAAACAGTTACTTATTTATTTTGTACAGAACTCTGTTCTATATATCACTGTCATTTAGCATCATTATTTATGGACATGGTTCTATTTCATTCTATCACTTGAAATGCCTGAAGGTACCATACAGTACACAATAACATGCACATCTGCAATCTAGAGTGAAGATCTGGACAAGCCATTCAAAATGATTGCCTAACACAACTCTCCTAATTTACGATATTAGATTAAACAATGGAATTTCATGGTCACCACTTGAAAAGGGAAGGGGAGGAAAGGAAACAGGGGGAAAGGAAAGGGGAAAGGAGGGGAGGAGAGGAGAAGGAAAAGGGGAAGAAAAAGGGGAAGAAAAGGCAGAAGGAAAGGCGGAAGGCGGAAGGAAAGGTAAGCTTTGTGACACCAAAACTATAGGGAGATAAATGTTAATTCTTTTCATATGAGACCAAGCAAAAGCTTGGAAATCACAACATATGTAAACACTCTTGATAAGCTTTTGATAATACCAAAAAAAACTAGAGCCTTTTTTCTTTAATTAAAAGTATAGTATCTTAAGACACTGACAGCTTAAGATGTCCCAAATGTCCAAAGTCTATCAAAAAAGAGACAAGAAAAAGGTAGCTTTAAAGCAGCATAAGGGAGACTATGACTTACACCCAAGATTCATACTCAAAGGATTCTTATGTCATTTTCATCTACGCTTCCACAACTGAAATCTTGTTCTTAAACAAAACTGCCTTGAGCTCTAATAAGGAATATACCTTTTTTAAAATGGTATCTTATTTTTCAGAGCTTTTTACAAAGATAGATCCAATGTTTTTAGAAGAATTCAAGTGAAAACAGGAAAAATGTAGATGACATGTCTATGGATTCAAATGCTTACTTAATTCATACAGAAAAAAAATTATTTCATCTTGTTTTTCCAAATGCATATAAATATGGTCTTATGAAGACAGAAAAATATACTAAATAGTACACTCACCTTCATCACTAGTTGCTTGCTGTTTAACCAAAGTCATGGGAGATCTAGCTGGTGGTTTATTTAGTGGATGACGCCAACTCTTAGATATGTTCTTTCTTGCAACTTCCTCTGACTGAAAAGGAAAAAATATAACTAATTTAGTGTGCAATTCTGCAAAGTTAATTATGATGAACAAAAATATACTTCTGTAAACAAGCACAGACATCAAGTCTGTAAATACTACCACAGTACTTGAAGGACCTTTGGTGTACCAATACTACATTTGTCTCTAATTCAGACTATATCTTTTAATTTTAAAAGTGCAATCCTTGTCAAACAAATCATTTCAGGTATAAGCTACTGCAGCCCTTCCTAACTTACAGAGCACCCATCTTGTTTTGCTCAGGTGATATTTGAGAGGAAGATCAGCCCAAATAATTCTGCAGACCACAAGTACAATACACCCACTAACTGTGGCTAGAAAAATGAGGCAGAAGCCGATGGACTTCATTTGGGGAAGACTCCAGAATTCCACAGGAATCAAAAAAAATATAAAAATCTGGAGTTGAGATAAGAAATTAAGAGTTCTGATATGTGATTAACGTGTAGGTATGAAGGAATTCCTTCCTCCCTCAAACATTCCTATGCATGTTCAGCTTGAAGTAATTCAAGCTTCAAGAACTAAAGGCCAACGCTACAAACTCCTGAAGTGCTACTGATGGCACCTGGAGGTGAAAAAAGGCCATGTGTCTGTAGGTGCCCCAAGCAGGAAACATTTTTTAAACCTACTGTTTAAAAACTGAAAATATATATTCCTTTCAATAGCAGAATCTTTTCCTTCAAGTGTTTCTTTGAGATATTTTAAGCCATTTCCAAAATTCAAGAATAGTAAGTAACTGAAGCTCACAGCCTTGCTCATATTGGCAGCAAGTGAATACAGGAATAGCTTGAGAATAGTTGCTGACACTTCAGAGTCACAGACATAAAGTGAAATTACTACATGTCTAAAACAACAGGGAAAAATATGTCAATAAGCAAGCCTCCAGAAACATTCTGCTTTTGAATCAAAATTCCCACTCTGCCTGAGCTCTTCAAAACACGTACAAATTATCATCTGATTAAAATCATACATAATCTTAAGAGCTTTAATATGGATATCAGGTCTCATTAGAAAAATTCTCATTCATATTTCATTAAATCAAGAATATATTACTATTATGATGTAATTTGCTTCACATACACTACATGTTTCCATGCCATCTTCTTCATCCTTTTTTACAACGGGCACTTCTTCATGTTTCAAACTACTTCCACAGCTTTCTAAGTTGCTGATATCATCCTCTATCAAGACACTTTGCTGTTTATCTGGATTTTCTGCTTCAGCAGTTTGTCCCTCTGCTTTATGGTACTGTATGTCCTCATCTTCCATTTTTGTTCTCTCTTTTACAGGAATAGGGTTCAAAACTGAGTCTGAAGTGAGGCTTCCTATAGATCAAAAATATGATTCGTTAATAAATCCCACTTTACATTACCAAATCGAATTTCACAGCAATCTACATTATTCAAATTTAAAGCATGGTTCCTCATTTAGAAATCATACAGAAAAGCATTTGGTAGAAGGGCATACACAAATGTGGAATATGAGTTTTATCAAAAAATAAATTAAATGTAAATGGTTTGAGTTTGGAGTATGAAATGTAGTTTTAATCATTTAATCAGTATTTTGCATTTGAATTACAACAGGTCTTCATGTCATACAAAATAATCAATATTCATGTATCTTCTTTATTCTGACAGCCCATATGCACTTTGACTCATTGGGAAAAAAAAAACAAAGGTCTGGTATATTGAACTTTATGCCCCGCATTTTATACCTCTTATGCCTGCTTTAAAAGTGAAAATAAGCAAGGATTAATGGTTCATAATTATGAAGACATATTTCAAATAGATACCAAGAATATTTTGAAAACAACAGCATCAGTCTAAAAATGCAAAGCAATTAGCATAATTTTATTTTTTTTTGAAAAATAGCATAATTGTATATTCCAGTGATGCTGAAGAGTGAAATTGTGTGGATTTTACTTTACAAAAATTCTTCATCTGCTGATGCTTGCATTGGAAAGACAGAACAATGGGCTAGAGAGGTCACTTAAAAAACACATTCCTGAAGAACCCTGTGGAACACACTGCAGTGAATTCTGATTCAGCAGCACATCCAAGATATTAAACAAAACAGTTTCTGTAAAGTTCCTTCCCATTACTACTTTACAATGGTTATTTGAACTTGTTTTTCTGAAAATTTTCCTTTTCAGGTCAAATGAATATAATATTCAGTAATAGAAAGCCAATACCAAAATGTAATCTCTGGGTACGAACCGTACTGCCTCAACTGAGTGTAACAGACATACTGGGCAGAGATAATGCAGAACAAACTACCTTCTTCAACATGAGTACCAGAGTTTCCACCATCATATCTAAAAACGTCCTTTTTCCTAAAAACATCCAGGCATCAGCCTTTAATAGGACAAAGGAGAGAGGGTAGCTCTCCACTCTTCTCCACTTTTTCTTCCCTTGCCAATAAACACAGAATAGCTGCCAACTAAATACTGTTTTCTGTGTGGTTATGAACATTCCAAAACTTTACTGAAAAGTTGGGGGAAGCTGTAAAGTCAAAGTAACTTTAAAAAAAAAGACCATAAGAACAGACCTGGAAAGGCTTTGATAGAGCAGCAAATAATCTGTACCCAGGAATTTCTAAGCCTTCATATTGCAATACTCACTTTGTTATCTTTATGTGAATCAATTATGGTGATTACTACCTCCAATAAGTACCAACATAACCATTAGTATTCACAATAATGGAAATATTCTCTATATGCAATTTGCAAGTAAATATTCAGTAGCAATATAAAACAAAATGGGACTGCCCACAAACTTAAAATTAAAATTGAAGTTTGCCTTTATCAACAGGAATGCAGAACTACATCTTAACTTCAAATAAATGTGAAATACAATAAATTAAGTCCAGAATAAACCAAGTATATTCATATAAAAAAAGTTGGGGGGGGAGAAAAAAAAATCTTTGGCTTTCCAAGGCCTTTATAACTTGCACTGTCAGATAGCTCAACAGGATGTAAAAAGAAAGCTGGAGTCTCAAAACAGAACATTTTTGTGCACAGGTAAAGACCACTTCTACTATGCAGGTTCATCGTGTAAATACATGTAGCATATTGGCAATCATATATGTTCTCTATTGTTTGAATAGTGTTCGGACATTTTGTATAATTTCCATATCAAAAAGATTTAGCTCTAAAATGTATGAGTCCACTAAAGAAATAAAATTTACAAATCCTCGTTCTTTTTGTTCCTTTAAAAATAATTCATTAAAACTTCATACTACTCTCAGCTCAGAATATTAATTTAGGTATTTTCTCATTCTAACTGAATATCATCTTCTCTGCATAACTTTATATAACTAAAATAAGCATTTTAGTATGCTACTCTAGGAAAATACTATGATCTAACATCCACAAATTTGTGGTATTAGAGTATCAACAGCCTACAACTTACATGTGAAACATAATCAGTCCTTATCTCACCTGCAACCTTGACATGATCCAACAAATGTTGATCCAGCTGCATTCTACTACTGTTTTCTTCTTCCCCAGAAGGCACTCCTGTGTTTATCACTCTCCCTTTTTTTTCAGGTTCTTCACTGACCTTGAAGCCAGCAGTAGCTGCTTCAGTCACGATGATTTCTGCATCAGCAGATACTCTCTTGTCCTCTGGAGTTTTAAGCTTTCTAGATCGAGATCTGGGGTGCTGGGAGCTGTTATAGGAGATACTGCTGTCAGAGTTGAAAGTCTGTCTCAGATAAGATAAAATATCTACCAATATATATGTCCCTTTCACCTGCTTAAAGTGGTAAAAAAACGACAATTTTTCATCTTTTTGTGTTGAGACGCTGTTACAATTTATTAAGTGATAGATTAACAATTGATTGGATTTAACCTTCTAATCTTTTATCACCATTCTACAGCAAAGTTGTTAAAATCTAAAAGTAAAATAGTCTTTAAGTAACTATTACTTAACTAGCTTTTTAATAAATCATTCTTTTGAACCTGAAAGAGAACTACCCTTACAGAAGTAATGAAGACAAAGCACTCTCAGTAGCACTAAAATCAGTTGATATTTCCAAGCCCCAGTGCTAATAAAAAACTCGTCTGAATACCCCTATAAAATCAGATCTGTTTGGAAATTTTAGATGCATTTTAACACAGACAACAAGCACCCGAAAAAGGTAAAAATTATGATCACAAAGTATTTTGAAAGGCTAAAATATCAAGCAATATATCTCAAAATGCTGTGTTAAAAAAAAAAATCGAAATTAAATTTTCAGCATAAGTTTTTGCTCCCTCAGAAGTAGAAGTGAAAACTTAGGGCAGGAGAAATGGCAAACCCATCAGAAATTTATGTGCCTAGGATAAATATAACAGAAGATGAGTCCGGTTTCAAATTCAACTATGTGACACAGGAGGAGATTTTAATGTGCTTCATCACATAGCAGGTTTCAAAGCTCATAACACATTAGTGATAAAAGGTAAATTAGGACTTTTATAAAGGTCTTGCATTTTAAACTCTACATATCTCCAGAAAAACATTTTGCTACCCCTTACATTTTATTCTATGTCCATCAATGAGTATCTGTCAACACCCTCTCTATAAAATAGTGATTTACAGAAAATTTGCCAAAGCATGAGAAGACCATCAATTCACATTGCAATATAACAGAAAATACTATTACTGTTTACATGCAATCATTTGATGTTATACAGTAGCAAAGTATTTCAGTCATAAATGCCAGAGTTAAGCTCTCCCTATCACTATATTCATGAAGATTCCCATACAAGGTATTTTTATTTTCACTCTGCTGGAACTTGTATTAATCCTGTAATCAAAATTATGACAATTTCAAGTGATACATTACACTAGAAATGAAGCTGAATAAACATTTTATCCTCCTTCACATTGCACACTGAGCAAAAGCCACTTAAAGATTGAAATAGCATTGGACTTGTGTTTATTAGCTTAATGCGAGATCCTGGATCCAAATCTCACTGAATTATTGATATGGGTTGGAACCAACTCACTTTGGGGGTGAGGGGTGGGGGAGGGGAGGGCTAAGCGAATAAATCGGCCCATGTGTTCCTATGATAAAACTTTCAACACAATTATTAGAAAGTATTTGTTTTTAGTCAAAACTGGCTACCTGTAAGGGTACTACCAAATAAATTACTGCTAGTGCAATTAGGAATTTGCATTTCCACTGTACAATACATACAGGGAAATCTACTGCAGGACAAAATGGCACTCACTTGGCTAAACAACAGAATCACTCTCTCTGTGAGTGCAGGTTAGTATTATACTAAGAAGTTGGCTGTTCAGCTGCTTCACTAATTGTCTTCAAGAAGTGATTCTACCTCACAAACCACTCCTACCCAGCTATAATGTTTCACTACAGTGAGAGTTGCTCCTTTTCTCTACAAATTGACTTTCCTATCCTTTTGCTCAAAAACTTACAAAGAAAACGAGGAAATTTGTTTTTTTAAGACCAAGTTTAAAAAGTAACTACACGGTAAAATGATTTGAAGGAGGAAAAAAGGTCTTAAAAATTCAGTATTACCTTCAACCCAGAAAATTGCACTATGCAGTTAAGCAGATACCAATAAAACTGCCCACCTTTGGCTAGAAATTAAGTAGATCTGTATTAGATAATGAAGGAGAAAATCCATAAAGATCCTGTTCACTAAGAGAGGAAAGCACAAGTGTACAAAAAATGTTTGCACAATGCAAACAAAAACATATTGCATATCAAGAAAATAGCTACGAAACTGCTTTAAAACGTCAAAGCTTTTACAGCTTCAATGACAAGCTGAAAAACCTTATTCTCCTAATTTTCTTAGTGGTGTCAGGACCAGAAACTCAGACTTAGGCCTTTCTTATGCCAGATTATGATCTGCCATTGACTTGTGGCAGACATAGACAGGTTTTGGCTGCAGCACTGTGAGAGTGTGATAAATAGGTAGTCATATTTCCTTGAAGTTAGATGGCAGTGAGGGCTAAGACTTTTTACTAGAGACTTCACGCAGCTGGTGGGATTCTGCCACAGCTTTATGATAAGTTTTTCCCATTTAATCTTTACTTCAGCTCTTAACAGACTTCTCCCTTGTCTTTTGGTTGCAGTGGTCACTAGAAACAATGGCAACCATCCACACCTTGTAATCTTTACTAAAACACCGATAATCTTCTCTAAAGAAATATTCTAAATGCAACACTGGAACACTTCATGTTAATGCTCTCCATGATCATTAACTTCAGCTATATACATAACTTTTAAGTTGAATTAATTTTTCACAGTCACTCTGAAACAGACTTGCTTATCCCCAAGTTCATCTTAATACAGAAAACAGAAAAAATAATTTTCATCTAAAATAAATGAATTCAAAGAAAACATGTGTTGTGGTTTAAGCCCAGCTGAAAGTTAAACTCCATGCAGCCACTGCCCTCCCCTCACTCCCTCCTATGACAGAGAGAGACAGAAAAGGCAGAGATTATGGGCTGAGATAACAATTTACTGGAAACAGTAATGAAATAAGAAAATGAACAGTAAGAGCAACAATATTAATAACAAAAGTGTATAAAAGAGGGTGATTACATGCAAAATGCTCATGGAGTCCAACCGACAGAGCCTAGTGCCACGCAGCTGAGACAAAGAACACTATGGTCCCTGGGCCCTCTGCACACACCACATCCCCTTCCTTCTCTGAAGTGAGAATCCCATAACCTCTGCCCTGGAGTGGTGATATGGGTGGTGTAGAAAACTAACCTAGGCACACCCACACGGATCCAGGCTCCACTCCCTCATGGTTACCACAAGAAAATTTACTCTGTCCTGGCTAAAACTAGGACAACATCAAAGAAAGCTGCCAAAAGAAAACAAAAAGAAATTGACATTATATTAAAGACGATTAAATAAAGGATAAAGAAACCAAATACCTCTTCGGAAAGCTCTGTATTTTCTTTCTTCTCTGTAGCCAGGTCCTTATTTCAGGTGTTGATTCAGGTGTTGGTTTCGTATGATCAATGGTATATAAATCCTTGCCTTGTTTCCACAGCCGGTACCTGTCTGGTTGAAACTTCCTCACAAAGATATCCATGGATATTGACACCATGTCTTTCCTACAAGTGCACTGCAAGAGAAGACAGGAATTTGTAGGTGACACGTAATGGAATATGTCACAGTTGTAGTTAAAAAAGTCCTGAATAAAAATCCCACACGTGGAAGCCAATTCTACTTTAATCAAAATTTTCCTTTTTCCTTTCTTCTCAATTTTCAGGGGGAAAGGATTATTCAAGAGAATACAGTATCTGAACAATGTGTCACACTAGGATTCCACTGTTTCATTAATTCCTACAGTTAAGACCAAAAAGAAACAATAGCATTTCTTTCTTCTCTATTAGTTGTTTTTTACAGTTTTAAGCAAACTACCATGTTGAATCCAGAGACTGCTTGTATCTTAAGTGACATCACAATACTATTTTTAAAAATAACTCATGTAGTGTCCACTTGACCCAAAGGTCTTTACAGGAACATACAGTCCCAGCACTGAACTCTTTAAAACATAAATCCATACAAGTACCACATCAAGTTACAGTTTTGCCCATTTTTTTTTACAAAAAGAAAAAAAGAAGAAAGAGAGAGAAGCATTACGTCTAAGGCCTAGAAAAGCGTTCTATAACTGTATAATCTGATCTGTTGTGCAATGCAGTCTCATGCAGTACTTTCTTCATCAACTTTACTCTAGTCTCTGACTTTGGTCCCTCAAAGAATTTTTGCATTGTTTTTCTTTCCAAATTATGCAGGTGAGTGGAATACATTAGACCTATTTGAATAAAATCTCAATAGTCATGAAATGCAAATGAGGAGCCTTCATTTGGAATACTGCAGATTCTGAGTTAATTTTCAGACAGAAGTTACTGTATGTAGTACCTCAAAATACTTAAAAGTAGGAGACTGCATTGAGTAAATCGACATGCTTACAGCACATAAACTATCATAGTTTTGACCGCCAGGTGTTCATCAACTTGCTCTCTCATTTCTCCTCAGGTGTCCCCCAGGAGAGAGAGAAAATAAGATTCGAGGGAATTATGTTAACTTATCGTAAATTAATAAGAGACAGAGAGAAACGAGAGCAAAACTAAACCCAGCTTCCCTCATGCCTGTCTTTCCCAGGCTTTACTTCACTCCTGACTCTGGTGTCTGCAGGGATGTTTCTTTCACATTTTTCTCACTCCTTTCTCTCACAGTTGCTGCACAGTGATTTTTATTCTTTCTAAATTTGCTATCACATGAATGCCATCAGAGTTCCTGACAGGCTCAGCAGGTTCATTCTGGAGTCAGCCAGATCTGGCTTTGTCCAATGTGCGGACAGCTCCTGATCTGTTCTGCTATTAGCCACAGCTGCAGCACCCCTACACTACCAAAACATTGCCACTAAACTTAAGCACAATTTTTTCAGATTAAAAGCAAATTTAAGAATTTTGCTATAGCTGAATAAAGCTTACACTGCAAAACTGAGACAGTATTTTCTTTCAGGTAAACAGAGACGTATAGAAAAACCTGGTAAATGTACAGCCTGGCTTTATGGTTTACTACTACTAGTTTTATTTTTTTTTTTTAAACAAGGAGGGTGTTTAATCATAGAAAAGCTGGAACACACAACGGACTGGATGCAACTTTTCTACTAGTTAGGTTTCTGTGCACTGAATGAAAATTTCTTTATCTGCTACTTCCATCTATCATTTCTAGCTCACCCTTCCTCCTCTTGAAATTCATAAGATACATAATGAAAAAGCATCTGAGATGTATGAAAAACGCTTGCATTCCTTTCAATATGTCAACACCAATATGCTGCATATTCACAACACTGCCATCTAATGGGAGATGGAATGGAAAGAAGTAAAAAAACTTCAACATAGAAACTGTAATTTTATGCAGCTGTCTTTAATTATAGTTTTTACCCAAAATATCATCAGAATTTTCCCTTTTCAAACAACATGAATATACATACTTATAAAAACTCTCTGTAAAAAACTTAAACATATTTGAAATAGTATGTTTCTTTCAGAGAGTCCTTGATCAGTCACAATGAACAGCAACAAAAAAGCAATTAAGACACTTCTGTACACTGGAGAAGTGCACAGAAGTCCACTGTAATCTTTTTAACATTTAAAAATGAAATTGTAACACAAAGACAAGAAACACTGGATTTTCTCTCCCTTTTACATACAAAATCTTTTCACATTTAAACCCTGTTGCTACAGTCTGATAAAAAATTATTATTAAAGCAAAAATTTTGCTGTTAAACATCACGATTTCCACTGCCCTGGAAGAAAAGGGATTTTTAAGTCAGCATTGAAGCATTAAGGAAGAAAATACATCAAGAAATAAAATAGATTGTATGATGGAATGTTAATAATATATGAAAAAACTTAAAATAAATCATGTCTAAATGAGACACAGAATTTCTGTCTTTCAGTAGTCTTTGATCAGTTTCCACTACATTTTAATATAACTACTGCTAAAGATTTAAAAAACCCAGGCAGGTATTAGAAATATAGTAGAATTTCTTAGAAGCTTTAAAACTTTTAAAAACATACACTTCAGAATAAAAAGCAATAGAGAAACACCATGCTCAACAGTACCACTGTATGCCTGAAAATAAAGACAAGCTTCTCAGCACTAAAGGGTGGAAATACTTGGAAGTATCATATCAGACAACAACAGCAGATATGTTCCGAAAACAATTTCTACTCATATTCCCCGGAATGATTCAATTAAAAAAAAAAAAAGAACACACACACAAAAAACCACTATTGCTTTGATAAATAGTCTGCAGGATCTTTTGTTCTTTGGTGGTGATGATGGTTTTTACTGTTTTTTCTTCATTTCTCATTTGACTGGCTTGGAGCTGGCAGTTAAATGGCTTCCTGCTCCAGAGATAAGAAAGTGACTGAAAGATTCTTTCTAAAACAAAACTAATATTATTCTGCTAAAGAAACCTCTTGGGACAGGTTTCACAAAGTGAACATACCAATGTCTGCTAAAATACTCACAGTAATACTTCCATGAATCACAGTAAATCTGGAAACATCTTTTAATACTTTTTTTAAAAGTAAATGCAAAATCAAAGTAGTTAGACTGCCATGTAAAATGCAGCTGATGTTGCCATAGCTAAAGGACAGAATCTTTGTACCGGAAACAATTAGTTTCTATATGCAATAGAACTAGTTGATATTTATTCTACAATCAAAATACTTAAGAGAACAGAACTCCTTCCCAATTCTTATTATTAAATTCTTACTATTAACATAATTGATGACACGGTTATGATAATTCTTATTTATCCTGCCATAAAGATACAACTTGGCAGTAAGCAACTCAACTAAAATTTATCAGTAGCTGCAAACCTTTACAGAATGAATTGGAAGAAAAGTTTCAGCAACTTTAACTAATTGGCATAACTATATGTGAGATATATTTGTGATTTGAGAAAATTACCCAGGAGATACATACTCAGACAAATCATTTTTTTTTAAATACCTGCTAGTTGTGAATGAAAAAAGAATAATTATATTGTACTGAAAAAAAAAAAAAGTTTAATTCTCCCCATTTGGGACTCTGATTCAGGAAAGTACGAAGAAGTATAAAATAAGGTTCTAGACTTATTTTAAAATACCTGAAATATCTAAAAACAGTCCTTGAAAAACATTTTATATCATCAAGAACCAAGTACATGCCTTACAGGTCTTTCCAACTTTTCATCATTATTATTAAATTCTTTCGTCAAACAGAATCACTAGATTTTTAAAACTGACATAAAAGTACTCCATCTATAGAGAATATCATGTTTTGCTCCAACAGAAAGTAAAAAGAGGGTTTATTTTATTATTTGACTAGTAGAAGAGCAGTGTGCTTCTTAGTACCATAGTTTTAAGCACAGAAATGCATTTCCAGAGTCAAGCCTTTATAATTTGCATTTTTCTCTTTTAGTTCAATGAAGTTATATCTGTGATGTGAACTTATGTCTTTATCCACAAAACCATCTTCTTCACCAAAACATTAGTTGTTATACTACAATATTACAATATTTAGCACACTAAGGTTAAAATATCTGAAGGATTTTGGACATTTTGCACTACGTATTGGATCTTGTTAATTAAAATATGAGTTTCACCATATCTGAAATCTATTTTAGTTAAAAGTCTTCCAAAGTACTAATCTGAAGACGATTAGTAGTACTTCATTAGGCTAATTTTTTTCTTTGACTTACATAATTATTTCCAGAAAAAAAAGCACCACCTAAAGTCTTTCTACACACCTGTGGAACAGCATGTGGAGACTAACAGTCAAGGGAAATCATGTAAAGTTCTGTTCTTTATAAAGAGAGAAAGGATATTTAAAAAACATATAAGAAAGCAACAAATTAGCAGGATGAGGCAACTATTAGGCTGGTAATCTTCTTTAAAAGCTATATAAATCTCAATCCACAAAGCATACTCAAAAAATTATTTAATCAAGCTATTTTTCAGTGACACTCCTGTTTATAACGACTGAAGCTTTCTTCACAGTACAGCAGCAATGATGTATTGGAGATAAACATTTTAAACAATTTAGATTCCTTTTTCCCGCTAACTTTAAATGGCACAATAATGGACTATTTCATGCACTATATTCCACTCTGTTTGCAATATTTTAAATGAATAATCTTCAAACATTTAAAAAATTGCTTTTTGATAATAAACATTTTAAAGGTGCTATAACTGGAACTGCTTCTGTGGACTATCCACAGAAGAAGTCCTTGATGGGTACTGTTTGTTAGGAGGACAGGAATTAATAAATCCTGGTAACAATAACTCTTCTTTGCTATGGAGTTGGGCTGTAATATATTTTCACACTGACCTTCTGGCAACTTGTAGGCAGTGTTGCAGACATCTTTGGTATCAGTTAACCATCTGTGCAAGCTTCAAGAAAGCAAGTCTTTCTTTGGTAAATCAGAGAGAGTACACTCACTTTTCCCTGACACCTCCAGTCACACATAACAAAAATACAAATTCAAAACACCACTCTTAAAGGTTCTTTTTATAGAATAGAAAAAAAAAAATTTAATAAATTCATTGTTTGTACTTA